CAGTGGTTATCCCACACCAGCCTTCAGGCTTCGGAACGAATTCCTGTGTCTGGCTTCATGTCACCCATGTACAGACACCTACCTCAGAAACACAGTCCTCCCTACAGGAACAGTGTTGAGAAGGAAAGGATAGCATCACCTGAGGACAAACACACCCCTAACTTCTTGATGCCTAGCACTCATCGTATCTAACTTCAGCCACCTAAAGGCCAGGCATCTAACCTAGCTAAATCATACAGAACTGTTGTATAGCCATCTTCAGACAGGATCTTTGTATAGCTAGGATGGACATGCTGTCTTCTGAGGAGGTCAGTAGTTTCCCTGTTGACAGAGACCAACCAAATGATCAGTCACGTAATTGCAGAGATTAGGGGAAATTAATTCTGTCAGGGTGTCTTTCTGTCTTTCATGATTCATAAGACATTCTAGGACAATGACACTAAATCAGACTACAGCAATTTCTAACACAGTCAGGCGCTAGTTAGAGTAGGACTGACGGAGGAAATAGCAATAAATGGCATAAAAAAATAGGTCACTTAGACAAAATATATGACATTAAATAGTAGAAAGCAACTAAAGATTAAGCCATTGTAATGCAATGGGTTCTTGGACTCTACCTTGAACCAGTTTTGAAGAAACAGTGACGGCAGATTACCTTCATAAGGCACCACATGAAACCACATGATACTGATTCTCCCACAGTGAAGGCTCTCTCCCACCACCAGCCCTCATCTTGGGAACCCAATTCCTTGGCCTAAAGGCTCATGGGCCTGTTGGAGATGCTGCGAAGTCTCTCCCTCCCGCTGGTAAATGGGATTTGGAGAAAACTGATGTGTGGATAAGAGAACCCTTGAGCCACAGCCCTTGACCTGTGCAAAGGCTGCTCCATCCAATATATTCATTAAAAATATGAGCTGTAGGTGTTTCCTCAGGGGAACTGTCATGTCTTATATTTAATCTGGTTATATACCTAAATGAGCTCTGTCCAGAGGGCATATATACAATTACATATAAATTATATCCACCCTTAAGGAGCTCTGCCTTCACTCCTTTACTACCTGTAACAGCTATCAGCCCATACCACGGTGAATTACCACTCCTTGCATCACCTCAGTTATGCCAGTGAGGTGGAAGGGCAAAGCCCCGAGTGGAAGTCAATAACAGCATCTTGTAACTTGTCTAGAGACGCACAGTGAGTTTTTCTTCTGTGATATTGTGCTTAGACCATAAGTTCATCAAGAAAAACTAACTACAACTATGCAATAAGTTAAGAGGTCTCAGCAAGCTGTGACATTTTGCTATGCTTAGAAGAGACACCACAATTCTTGTGCAGCAAGAAGTGCTGAGATGGTTTTAATGGCATCTGTTGTCTCTTGATTGACAGAGCATAAACATTTCAAAAGTACAAGCAGCATTACTGCAGCCATACAGCACTAGACAGCATTATTTACCAACTGTGACCGAGCTACTGCAATCAGTCACAAATTGCACATCTAGCTGAGGGTTATTCTGATTTTGTTTGAGAAATGTCCTCTTCTGGATGAAGAGGTATTAGCAGCTTCACAAACACTGTCAGCTAATCAAAAAATATTAGAGAAGCTTTCCACAGCTTAGTGGTTTTCTGCCACTTACTCTAGATGTTAGGAATGTGTGGAAATGAATAAATGTATTAATACACAGCAACCTGTCAGGAGCCCTTGGCACGTCGTGAGCCCTTATACTGCATTTGCCAGTCAAATCCGCCTGATACTCCCAGCACTCCCTAAAAGCAACCCATTCACATGGGAATTGACAAGGAGTCTGCTTTTAAATGGTAATATTTCGCATTATGGTGCCTGACACTAATTTCTACCTAAGACAAAAGTAATATTTAATTTACACACCTGACTCGAATGTGCTGTTTATTTACCTCACATTTATGTTCAATAATTTGAGTGACACTGTGACTTTTCTTACAGAAAGCACTGCCTGTGTGCTACTGATTGCTCATATACACAGCAAGAGTGCTCACTAATTTCATCCCCACCAAGTTCTGCTTGCTGCTATCCAGGTGGATGAAACATGCTTCTCTGGACTCAGAAATACCCTTGTTCTGGGACAGAAACAGACTATTGATGGGAAGGGAGGCCAGGGTGGCAGCAACAAGGTATGCAAGGGAGAAGGGAGGAAAGGGGAGAAAAGCACTGGTGGAAAAAAAACAAGAAATAAAGTGAAGACAAGTGAGGTCTCTTTCTGTAAACTTCCTCTTTTCCTTTCTTCTAAGGTCCTCTCAGGCTTTTCCATCATCCCTTTTGATTGACAGCTTCCTGCCTTCTCCCATTCGTCTTTTCTGATTCCTTTACATTTGGCTTTTTCCCTCTACTAACACACACCAAAAAGTGGTCCCAAGTGACAGAGCCTGCTCCCAGCAAGGCAAGAGCTGTGGGCAGTTGGGCGATACCCCCGTCAGCTGGAAGCCTCTCAAACAGAGAACTGCAATGCAGTGCAGTGCTGTCTTGCCATTATACAGCAGGGAAAACCACTGCAAAGATGGATGCTCCTGTGGAAATACTGGATATCAAAAGTTTTCCTTTTGAGTTGGCATCAAGACAAAGAAAGTAATGACATGCCAGTAAATTGTTTTGCATAAGAACAAACAAATCTCTCCCATACAGAATAGGATGCACATCTGAACAGTAACCTTTTCTGTGCTTTGGTGTCAGAAACAGAGCAGCTGAGTGGTGTGAATTTAGGAAGCATTTTTAAAGGGAAAAACGTGGTTCAGCAAAAAAAAAATATACAACGTACCTTCTGTTGACACTGGTATCACAAATTGATAATATGCCACTGTAGATCAAGGAAGAAGACAAATGAAATAAGAAACAATCCCCTCTTACAGTTATTTCTAACTAGGCAATTATTCTACTAAGAACTTTTACAAGCAGCAATAACGTGCAGTATCTCATCTGCTCATGGCTTGTGACACTCTGTAGTATCAGAGCATGTCACAGGGCTGCAGTTCTGCCTTGAGAGGAGTATCCTTTGGCACAAAACACAGATCACATTCTGCTCCCACTTACACTTATGTGAAACCAATGTGCTTGATTTATTCCAGCAAAGGGATCAGAATACATGAAAGCCATTTTTTAAGACATAACTGATTTGAAAAAGGCCAAGATCTCATCAAAGAAATCAAAATAGCATACATTGCATGATACATGGATATGTACTTTACCTTCTGATGTGTTCCAAAAGACACATCTCACTTTGCTGCAAGCTGTATCTATGCATAAAAAAATTCAGATGAACTTACACAGTGTCACAGCCTTAAGACTGATTCATGTGTTTGATCAAGAGCTTATCAGTTTTATGACAAATTACCAGTCAGTAAAATTTAATACACAAAATTGTATACTCTGTGATCCTTGAGTAATGCTTGATACATAAAATGAGATTTTTCAGTAGCATTTTTTCAACTATTTAATACAAATTTCTTGCAGGTTTTTTTGTATTGCAATATTTTTCATTTCTTTTGATCTTCAGTGGCAATGTAATATATCTTTATATGGAGACTACCAGGAGAATTTCTTTGGACAGGGAGTAATTTTTTTTGCTGTTATTCTGCTGGTTCCTGTTAGATTCAGCTGCACATAGATATTTAGTATTTTATATCACTGTATCTTTGTAATCTTAAGTGTTCAGTAAGAACAAAACACATTTAGGCTAACCTTCCCTTTTGGTATTCCTGCACTATGGGAAGAATTACGTTTAATTACCTGTGAAGCATCACATACACTTACTACATTCAGCAAGTAATAAGCCAAATTTTGAGGTTTCTCCAAAGCTTAAAATATTCCCTTTAAGTCCCACATCACTATATTGGTGCACAGAAATCCTGAGGGACACTTCTTTCCAATGTATAGGTTGATCCTGTTCTTTTTTGTTTCTCCATCTCAGAAAGAGGTTAGAGCTCTGGGCCTCAGCAAATATAAGTGCACCTCAGCTACTTACTTAATGTATTTTGCACTAGAAAATCTGGTAGACACATGAAAAATCAACCTTCTGCAGTAGCTAAAACGGATTGTCATCTTTCTGGCATCTTAGTTTTGAAGTCAACTCCTACTGAGTTTGATCTTCCTGACTAGAAACTCAGGACAGGCTTCTGTATTTGGCCCAATAATACTAAAATATAATAAAGTAGTCAAACTTCTCTTTAAGGAAAATATCAACATCACAGTGTCTTCGATTCTCCATTGTCCAGTATTTAATTAAGTCACTAGACAAATGAAAGAAAATGAATGTTCAGAAGGTTCAAGGACTAGCTTTCCTTTTAAATTGCCCTAGAAGATCCTGTTTGAAACAGAGCAGAATTAGCTGGCCGCGTAAGAAATCCTTGGAGATGAGAGGAATGCACAGAGCTGCAGCACTCTGCCAGGCACTGAGCACTGCTCCAGCACATGGCACACACCTGGAAAGCTGCCATCACCAGCAGATGAGCTTTAGAAAAAGGAGCGGAAATAGTTTAAACATGGGTGCCCACATGCAGTGCCCACCCTACATCTCGTCCATCTGATGGGCAATATATTGCAGAGAAGAGCATGTCCTCACATCTCCACTGCTTGGCACTACAGCCCCAGACTCAGACCAACTCAGACCAACTTCAGCACAATCGAAGATGCTGCTCACACTGCTCCTACCTGCAAGGCAGAATCTCCAGCAAGGGGCAGCGCTCACAGTATGGAGCAGTAACTTCTAAAGACCACCACTGGTGTTTGCTCCAGTGCCCACAAAACAAGGTCTCTGGGGAAGCCATAGGGGAGGTCTTAATCACACAGGATCCTCTCCAGGCACCAGAATTGCTCAGGTTCACAATGGCAGAAAAGGCGGCTAAATGGTGCAAGAAGCTTCTGTCCTGCCTACACCAGATACTTCATCATGGGACTTATGATTTACACCCTTTTGGACCTGATAGAGCTTGGCCATGCAGGACCCTGGGAAAATTATACGCACAATGGGAATAATTTATTTTAACAAACTAAAAATGTATTGTGCTTTTGGAAAGAAATTCATAAATATTACGCTTCCATGGAGTAAAAACATTATGTGCCAATATATTTTCTGCCCCGACTTAGGAAACAGGTTCCCAACTCTACGATTACATAAATATGTTAGTGAGCACAGATTTATGTGTACATAATTCCTTCTTTCATCTAATGTATTTGCAGGTAAAAACTTCACTAACTTGTGCAATAGTTCTTACATGTTTGTAATATATTTCTACCTGAAGAGCAGCAAATTACAATAGCCAATTTTGTATATCAGACTGCTGCAGGGGAAAAAAAAAAAAAACAAAAAATCAAACAACAATACTAACGAAACCAAAAAAGCACTGATCTCATATTTAAAACTGTTTTCCCAACTTTTTCTCCCCAAAAATGCATAACATTAGTGTGTAAAAACTAAACCACCACATGAGGCATATTTTAAAGCCTCATATAATCAATGAAGTTTTTATGGCATCCTCAGAGCAAAGAATGTCCAAATATGGCTGAGAGTTAAGTACCCTGAGAATTGACTGCTCTTAATGAATTCACAGAAGTTTTTAAGTCCACATTTACCAAGAATCAGAAGAGAACTAAAGGGAAGAGAACAAGGTTCAACTCATTTTCCTGTACTATTCTCTAAAGATATCGGGTTATAAACATCCTCCATATCTTGGATACTGGAGGCATCTGTTGAATCTTGGTCGCTGACTACAATTCCTACTGAAGAAAGGCTAGAAATGAAAGAGTGCATCTTTTTTGCATAAATATCCCTAATGTTAAAATAGGGTAGGTCGTTACACTTCTCTTTGCGATCATTGTTGCATTGGTCTGTATCAATAGCTTTTTGCTTTTGATAGTACTTAGAAAACTTATTGAAAATGATGGTGATTGGAAGTGCTACCACCAGTATCCCACAGATAATGCATAGGGTGCCGAGCAGCTTTCCAGCAAGTGTGACTGGGTAAGTGTCCCCATAACCAACAGTGGTCATGCTAATGGTTGCCCACCACCAGCAAATAGGGATGCTCTGCAGTTCTGATGAGTCGTCATCTTTCTCCACTGAGTAGACAAGCACTGAAAAAATAGAAATCCCAACAGACAAAAACAAAAGCAGCAGTCCAACTTCTTGATAGCTATGTCTCAGAGTGGCACCTAAAGACCGCAGTCCTACGGAATGCCTGGCCAGCTTCAGGATGCGAAATATCCTCATTAGCCGCAGGATTTGAACCACTTTCCCCATGTTTTCAATATCTTCGCTTTCTTCTTCCTTTGTGTCCACAGCCAGTGTGGCATAAAATGGGATAATAGAGACAAAATCAATAATATTGAGTGGTTTCTTCCAGAACTTCTTTTGACTTGGAGCGGCGATGAGCCTGATCGCTAGTTCACCAGTAAACCAGATGATGCACGTAATCTCCACAGCTTCCAGCACAGGGTCTTCAATCTCCCTGTCATGGGCATCCACCCTGTGAAATTCTGGCATGCTGTGAATGCACATGGCCACAATTGATGCCAGGACAACGCTCAGGGATGACACGGCAATTAACTTGGCAGACAAGCAGTATGCAGGATTTTCCATTCTGACCCAGATCTTCCTTCTTATTTCACCAAAACACAGATTGTCAAACTTTTCTAGCTCTTTATCAAATATGGACGACTCTTCATTAGAGGAGTCTATACTGTCATTGCTCTTCTGATCCCAGTCTTTATCAGGACCTTCTTCTTTCCTTTCTTGGTACCGATTGCTGCAGCAGGAATCAATAAACAGCTCATTTATCCCCCAGTACTCTATTTCCTGGCAGAAGGAAAAGACACAGAGTTCTTCCATAACGTGGAGTTTGCCCGTATAGTAAAAATTCAGAACATATCGGAACAAGGAAGGATTTCTGTCAAAGTAATATTCTTTATCTGCAACACTATAATCATCACACAGTTCTAAAATAGCCTCTTCTGAATGGCATTTGAGAAGTTTTCCGAGTCTAGTATGGGGGAATCGGAGCAAGGTGCTTTGATCCACTGACTGCTTAAAGCCACCCACATTCAAATTGATAAGTTCTGTATCTTTGCCAGGTCTGCGGAAAAATTCACCGTAAACCATTTTGGACAGACAAGTTCCACTTCTGTTGCCCAATGAGATTACACTGAACCTGAAAAGAACACAATATATTGTTAGAGCACTTAATTCAGTTTTGCTCTTGTGACATATTCTTTTTTCCCTCTCCGGTTACTGTGAAATGCTGTAACAAAACAAACAAACAAAAAGAAGAAACTAAATGATGAATACCATTATTCAGCATTTCACAGACATAGTTTTAAATCAGTTTGATAGTTTAACACAGCTTTATCAAATTTGAAAGCAATAGGTTCTGGTTTAGGTCTCCTTTTTCCCAGGGTGAAGGAAGAATGTTACATTCAATAATGCAAAAAATTTTTAATTCAAAGACAGAAGACTTGTCAATCCATCAAAATATTTGGTACAAAGCTTTAGAGCAGGTGTCTCTCAACTACGTTTCAGTAGAACTGTATTGATTTATATGATGTTGCAATTTATAATCCGCTACGTTCCAATGCTGTTTGCTTGAATGTGAACTGCAATTACTCCTGTTGACATATCAATTAATTTACTTTTAGAATAAGCCACAGAAAAGCATCCTGTATTCTTGAAAACATATTAAAAGTTCGTTTAAAGATTTCCAATTCCTGCCTTCAGAATTTTGTCTAGTACATATACAGGTATCTGCAGTCCCATCAGTTACTTTTCTATCTGCCTTCCCACTCACCTGAAGTGTCACAACCCTCTTATGACCTTGGTCAGTTCGAGAAGCAATTCCTGTTCTGCCACAGCATAGCTACTACCACTATGGCAACGCTGAGAAGTTGGTGTTGAAATGTCATTTCTGGAAACAGGAGCTTTCGGAGATGGAACCTCCAGAGTGATTTTGCCTCAATAACTAACTGTGGATACCTGCAGATAGATAGAATGACATTTAAATGTTTCCATATTTTACTGTAATTTAAAACATTCAGCTGAAGTTGGATTCAAAAAGGATGTTATAGTTACTAAGTTAACTCTTACAGTAGAACAGCTTTCTTGCTGTCCTTCTAAAAAGTAGTTGTCTTCGAGCCAAAACTGGCAGTTCTTACACTTATAGTCATCAGACTATATATAAACTTCTGACCACGAGGAAAGCAAATTTTTTTGATCTCTGACACTTAAACATTAATTGATGTGTACTACGCTAATTTATTTCAATTTAATATAGAAGTAAATTAATTTTAAATGTGACAAGATCACATCAAAATTCTCTAGTCCTAAGAGATGACACCATATGGCATCATGCTCAGCATACAGAGCTCGGGAAGAAGAAGGAAAGGGGGTACATTCCGAGTGATGGCGTTTGTCTTTCCAAGTCACTGTTACATGTGATGGAGCCCTGCTTTCCTGGGGATGGCTGAACTCCTGTCTGCCCATGAGAAGAGGTGAATAATTACTTGTTTTGCTTTGCTTGCATGTGTGGCTTTTGCTTTACTATTAAACTTTTTCCATCTCAACCCATGAGTTTTCTCAGTTTTGCCCTTCTGATCCCCTGCTCAATCCCACTGAGGGGGAATGAGAGGCTGTGTGGGGCTGAGTTGACACCTGGGGTTAAACCACGACACAGAAGTCATTTTGCACCTTAAGATGTAGTTTGATGCCAGGTATTTGCTAGCTAACAGAATGGTCATAAGACACAGTTTCTCCAGACACTTCCCAAGGCTTCAGCTTTTAGGAATGATTAAGACGTAACATAAAAACACTGATCTCACAGAATAAAGGCAGCAGGACTCATCCGATAAACATTACCACACTTAACTCATGATCTAGACCCAGGCCCTGTTTTGTAACACTATAAATAAAAAACCCATAAATACCATGGACTGGGGTCAAAGTATATTCAAACCCAAAAAGATTCTACTTATTGATTCATTTCAGTCAATAAAATCTCCACTTTCAGCAATTCATTAAGATGAGAACACTAGCAATGTAAGCCAGCACTATAAAAACCAGGCACCACCTCAGATCATAGGATCACAGAACTATAGAACAATTAGGGTCAGAAGGGACCTTAAAGATCATCTTGTTCCAATCCTTCCTGTCATGACTAGTGACACTTTGACTACACTAGGCTGCTCAGAGCTCCATCCAACCTGGCCTTGAACACCTGCAGGGATGGGACATCCACAGCTTCTCTGTGCAACCTCTGCCAGTGTCTCACCACCCTCACAGTAAAGAATTTCTTCCTAATATCCAATCTAAATCTACACTCCTTCAGTTCAGAGCCATTCCTCTTGTCCTGTCTGGAGGCACCTCTGACCATGACAAGTACAAAGCAAGTTTTACTCAGAAATAACTAAAGTAAGAACTTAGTTGCTCAGTAAATCCTTAGTACAATAGACTGACTTACTGTTGAGACAGCAGTATAAAACCACATTGATTATGCAGATGATATTCATAATGGTGCCTCCATGAAATTGCTCTGTATAATAAATTCAGTGAGCAATAATTTTGAGGGCAATGCTTTATTTTGAGGGCACTGTAGTCACGATTTGTGCAAGATACAGAAAGAAAGCGGATCTTGCTTAGAAAGGCCATGGTCCGGAACCTGCTGTATTACTACTATTATGTGATTTTTTAGGTTATGAAAAGAATGTACTGGAAAGATTCATGATAGCTAGGTCAAGAAGAGCTTCAGAATCTGAAGAATGTCTTGTTTGACTTGCAGGGACCTTGATTCCTGAGCCATGGTTTGTTGTGCTAAGTACCATCAGAACAATTTGAGGCATTTAAACAAGTGAATCCGGCCACAGGGTGCCTCAACACAACATGGTCTGCCTCAGCACAACATGGTCTCTACTCAAGGGAATCCTTTACCCACTCAAACAACGTTTTCTACTCAAGGGTAAAACTACTCAGCTGGAAACAATTTTTTCCTTAAGTGCCTTGAGTGCCAAAGACTCTGTCAGGAACATCCTAAGAACATAGAGCTACCACAAACTTTGCAAGTCTCAACTTGAAGAGCAACATTAACCTCTTTGATCTTCTGTAAACAAGTATTCATATATAACATAATAAACTGCTAACCATTCCAAATCACACACTTCTTACCCTGGAGAGAGTATAAGAGAGCAAGTAAACACATACCAGATGTTAGTTACTTGTTTGCTTTAATTGCTTCAGTTGTTGCAGTGAGCTACTGGATAAGGACTCATATGGAATAGAAAATGAAATGACACAGAAGAAAGATGCTTACTGGAATAATGGACATTATTTTCCAAGATAATGAAAAAAAACCAACAAATAGAAGTTCCAAATGTTAAGCTTGAGGGCTAAATAAAAGTCAATCATAAGGAAAGCTGTGTGAAAAGGATACAAACATTAGAATAAAAAACAAAACAACAGGATCTAACTCTTCCCAGTCCAATTTGAGGATGGGCTCTAGCCAGCACTTCTGCAGTCATACACTGTTGGTGAGGCCACAGGCCCATTGTCTGCTTGGAAGGGGGACTGCAAATTTCTGGGCTTTTAGCACGCTGTTAAATCCCTAAAGCTCACAATAGGAGAGTCACAGAGACAGAGTTTGCATATATGATCCCTCTGAGACGGCTATGCCGCAGATGTATAACATACCCCAAAGTGCTGTGGTTTTCCAACCTCTTCTGGAACAAACCGCTTAAAGATTTTTAGTGGTACTGTGGATCCCAGACTACACATTTATTTGTCAGTAAAATTTCACTTTCTCAGTTATTTCAGTTATCTTCCACATAGTATCTACATGAAGTCCCCATTCTCTGTGAGGTTCTACATCACAAGTTGCAGAACATCTTTTTGGACATGCTGCACATTTTAGCATGGTAGTACCTTGGCTACTGGTAACTCCAAATTAGGGCAGGTTCAGCTTTTCTGTGATTACCCAGGCACAATAGAAAGAAAGTTTAACTGCTTTGCAGTTGAATAGGCTTTGTTGTGTTCTGCCACTTAAAATACTCAAAGACAGCACAAGCCTACAGATTTTCTACCAGTCTGCTCCATGGCTATGCTGTCCATAGCCTCGCCTCCTGCTTCCTGAACAGCTGCACTTCATAAGCCTCTGAAGACTTAATTCACATTTCAGGATGGTTTCCTCTAAGTTGAAGAAACATAAATACAAGGGCCTAGTCCTGCTCAGATTGAAGTCACAAGGGATACAACACTGACATCGCATACAAATCTCGGTAACTCTACAAAGTACTTCCAGAACTCAAGGAAATTTTTTCCCAAGGAATATGATGATCTTGGTAGATTTCCATTTTAGGGTTCCCATTCAGAAAACTGAGTTCTGAGCAAATTCACTCTCAAGGGTCTTATTATTTGCCATGCCCAGACACCAGATGATACAAATACCTCGGCTCTAACTTCTGCTAATTTCCTGACAGTTAACAGCTTCTCCAAATTTCCCTAGCTACACATATGCAGCTTTAGACACCTACTTCTAAAAAAGTTGTGGGTATGACCCTAACAAACTTCAGCTCAGGATCAACATTTCACTGATTTTTTAAGTGTTTGAATTTCTCCACTCATCACAGGACAAATACTTGTGTAAAGCACTGCCTAGGAGTACTGTCTATGCTTTCTGACTCACTGAGCAGAGAAAAACATCTAAATGCATATATAATTTACTTGATCAATCACAATTAGGGATTTGGACTGAAATCCAGTTAGTATGACTTAAGCTGTTCTCTGTCAGCAGGGCAGTAATAACTGCTTTAGCACACATAATTAAACCTGAAAAAATGTAAGATAATATTACTTGGCACAGCCTCTTTCATTGTGATATAAGATGTAACATTCAATTCTCCTTTGTAATATTTGAGACAGTCAACTATAAAGTCATTCACAGCCTGTGGAGGCAGAGGTTAACTTTAAAAAGTCATCTAGCACAAACAGCAAGCCCATCTGAGAAACTGCTATGTAGTTATGGACGTTCTCTGAGGCAAAGAGGATAAATTCATCAGCTAAATTATTCGATCAGTTGTAATTTATTTTTTATATTCCATTGGCAGTAACATCCTTTATCCAGAATACTGCATTAAAACGTCATGAAAATAATAGAATTATGCAATTACATTTCTTTTAAAATGGATTTAGTAGAACCTCCCAGAAGACCTTAGGTAGATAAAGTTTGAATTGAAATACCCAGGGCCAAATTTTGTTCTGATGTTAATTCCAAGGAAGCCTACTGGGCTATGTTCACCCTTGTAAAATTCAGTTTTAGAAACTGAACTTATGCCAAATGTTTGTGCATCTTTGCAATAAAATGAAACCAGAAAGAAATTATAATAATTTGGAAACAACAGTAGCTGCTGACAATAAAATGTAAAATTATTTAAATATCCATACCTGTGGAAAAATATTCTTCAAATATAGTTTTGGGTTTGGGTTGGTTTTTTTTTCTTTAAATCACCTCCTCCAAAAGACTAACAAGGAAAAAATGAAGCTATTCTAACTCAAAGAACACAAGCAAGAAGAGCAATAAGCATCTCTAGCCCATGGTTCATACCACCTAGCTTAGGCACAGGTTTTCAGGGGGGGTGAATCACCAGAGGTGGGGTCCACCTCTGTACTGACTAGATAAGCAGCCTATATGACTAGTGCTGTAAGGTGTATAACTTCCATGTGACTAACAGGAGGTAAAATGGATCCTGCCAAAGTGAAATTCTGCTGATTTCCACTATGAGGATGCTGGTGAGGACAGAGTATATGCAAAGGGTTGGGTATGAAAAAGGGGCACGGGAAAAACACACCGGCTGTAGCATCAACATGAGAGAAGCTTCTTTGGGAATGCAGTCTGCGATCTGAATTGCTTTCTCATATACATAAAGAACAAGGAGCAAGATCTAATATCATCAGAATGTCATCTTGTAAAATTATTAAAATGAAAAAAAAAA